ATAATTTAAATATATTATTTTAATATATTTAAATAATTTTTTAACATATTTGTATTCTTTATATCTCTAAATATATATAGATATATTTTTATTTTAATTGATTGATTATTTATTGTATTATAAGTAAAATTAGAAATAAAATTTATTCTGTTTTTTTTTGAATCAGACTATATAATAAAAACAAAAACAAAATCATTACAATATTAAAGTTAAGCAAGAAAGTTCAAGAACAATTAACTTTAAAAATTTTTTAATTCAAGTTCTTAAGCTATATAAAAGTATCAAATATCTTGAAACTCTTATTTCCTTACGAAATCTTCTTAAATTTAACAAAAAAGTCTTTAACTAAACAACTATTCAAATCCTAGATAAACTTAACAAGCTCTAATGAAAAGAAGAAATTAAATAACATATCTATAAATAAGTAATTATAAAAAATTTTGAATACTTCTTATTTATTTTCAATTTAAACAAAAGTCTCCTTAATTTTATTCAAACAAAAATTAAGAAAACTATTAAATTTGTATATAAAATTTTCTTTAAATACTTTAACTATATTTAAGGATCCTAACGATTCTGTGTTTGATTCCATTCGATTCCAACTCTTATAGTAAATTTAATAGGTAGGTTATAACCCACTTATATTTTTTATATGTATACGAGTCCATGCGAGTCCATGCGAGTCTATGCAATTCCAATTTTTGGGACCATAACTATATTATAATAAGCCAAAGAGGACTCAATATATCATTACTTTAAAAAAATAAAAATAAAATCTTATAAATAATTTCATAACTAAACTGACCATTTCTATAATAAGAAAGTATATAGCTTAAACTATTTACTGTATTCAAAAAAAAAAAACAATCTGGTTTTGTTCAATTTATAATTCAGAAAAATTTGATTAAGACAATTGAATATCTTATATAATTATAATCACAAAAAATTTCAAAATCCAGATCTGCCTCTTTAAACTAATCTTTTTAATTGAAAATACCTATAACTTTATAAGTTTTCTTTTCAAAAACCTATTATTTCAAACTTAAAGAAATAATAATTAATATATTTAATATTCTCAATATCAAATTCTTCAATTAGCTTCTTTAATTTAATAGTTTTATTAAGTTGTCTTGATTACAACTTATTTCTTATATAAATATCATATGTTGTAATTATAAATCAATCTGATTTAAAAACTTTAATAATAACAATAACCTAATTAGATCTTATAGATCCGTATCAAATTCTAATCCAATATTTTGATTTCTTTATATTATAAACTTCTTTATTAAAACTTATAAAAGATTTTATAATATTAAAAAAAACATGCTCTTCAAAAAAAAATACTATACAATTGATCCTGACAACAATTATATTTAGGATTTTGAAAAGTACTAAACTGGTATCAAAGTGATATCAAAATAGTACCAATTTATAGTAAATTTAAGTATTGAATTGGTATTGAACTAGTATTAAAGTAATATTATTAGGAACTCTAATTATATCAAATATTTTAAATATTTATTAGATATTCTTATTAACAATTTTTGCTTAATAACTTTTTTATGTATAAATACTTCTTTATTTTGGATAAATAATAACTCTTATTTAATATCAAGTATCATTTTTATAACATTATTGAAGAACTAGTAAACATTCTATTAGAAAATAAAAGTATTTTCTAATTAATTAATATTTTATCTTTTATAATATCTTTTTTCTCTCTACAAACAATTAGCCAATATAACTTATACTATATTTAACTTTTTAAACAAGATCTAGTTATTAATAATATCAAAATTATAATATTTAATTCAATATTTTCAATTGGTAACATTCTATAAACCATTTATAATATTATTTAATAATACTCTTTTTATTTTACTATTAAAGTCAAGAGCAACAAAAAAATCATTTGAATTCCTTTTAACTTTCTTAGAAGACAAGTCAAAATCAATTTTATTATTTTAATCTCAAAAATTAAATGTCTTATAGTACAAATATCTATATCTATTAAACTTTTCAAGCTCAAATCCAAATCAAGATATATAAATTTCATTCTTTAAGATAATTTATCTTTTTATTTTTCAAAAAATCTTATTATTAATAAGACAAATTTAAAAAACTGTTGAGATAATATAAAAAAATCTTTAATATTATTAGATCTTATATTATCTATAAAAGTTTATCTATAACTAAAACATTTAATCAATTTTATTATATTTATAGTTTTAAAATAATTAACTTCTTTAACAAACATATAAAAAAATTTTATAATAACAAGTATAGTAATCTTATTGTATTTAGAATTAAACTATTTTTTGATACTCTTTTGATATAAGAATTTTTTATTACCTATATCCTAAACAATATAAAAATTTATATTGCTTTAAGTATAGCTTTAAGACTAAAAATATCTTTTATATATTTAACTACTTCTTAGCAAAAAAGAAATCCAAGTAGATAATAAACTCTATCAATAATATTCTTCATTCAAACTATATATATGTTCATATTACTATAAAAAAATTTTGATTGACAATATAATTCTGAATTAAATATGAATTTCAATTATTTACTATATAGTATATTACTTAGTAATTTTATTATAATATAGTTTTTGAAAAATGGTTAAATTTAATTCTATCATATGTATAATTCAGACTATAGTAATACTTCAATATCAAATATGCAACAAGTAATAGAACTAACCTATAAAATTACAATCAATATATTCTTAATATCTAATATCTATAATTGAATTGAAGTATTTACTAAAGCCCTTATATTATTTTACAATTTTATTTGGAAATTTAATACAATATAGCAAATACTATATTTTTATTGATATCAAGTAAAAAAAAAATCTCAAAAAAAAAATAATAATAACAATATCAAAAAAAATAACAATAATGACAATAATAATAATAACAATAATAACAACAACAACAACAATAATAATAATAATATAAAAAATCAATTTTCTTTTTTTTAATACTATTATTTTAATTTCTTTTTATATTAATATTATAATTAATATTTCAACTTTTGTTATAAAAGTATTTATTCAAAACAATTTAACTATTTATAATATATATTAATCTTATTACTAATTGCTATAATATTATTTTTTCAAAATCTTATTACTAACTGCTATAATATTATTTTTTTATTTCTCAAATTTTGAGTAGAAATTTATAGCTAATTGGCATTATTTAATTAATATACTAATTTAAAATTTTTTTTCTAATAGAAATTAATTAGATGATTATTGTAAACAAGTTAATATTAAACTTATTACAATTTATATGTAAGAGATATTGTTTCTTTTATTATATATATTTTGCTATATACAATTAAATAAAAAATGGTGTTTACCTATATTAAAAAAAAAAAATAATAATAATACAAAATATTTGTTTAATTTTAAATAATATTAAATTAATTAAAATTAAAAATATTTATTATTAAATATTATTTTTTAATATTAAAATTTCAAAAAATATTATCAAATATTTTTAATATTATTTTGTCTAGTTATAGATATTAGTAAAATTATAAATAATATTTATTTATTTAAAATAGTAATAAAGATAAATTATAATATTGTATTATTATTTATTTTATATTTTATAATAAATTATAAAAATATACACATTTTGAAAAAAATAAAGATATTATATGTTTTGCTAATCTCAAAAATAAATATTATTAAGAAAAATATATAAATTAATCAGTTTAATAATTTTGATATGAAATTTTTTTATATCAATAATTAAAATAAATATAAAATTTTGTTATAAAGCAACTATATTTTTTTAAAAAAAAACTTTTTTTTTTATAGACGTGCTGTATATCAATAGTCTATTAGAGTGCTGTAAAAAAATTATTATTTTATTATTTAAAAATAATATAAACTAAAAAAATTCATTCAAAATTTTTGATTCAAACAACTTATTTTTAAAATCATATCTCATATAAAAAACAAACAGACTATTTTAAGAAATATTTTGGAATTAGGGATAAAAATAGGAACAAACATGTTGAAAATTTTAATTAAGGATAACGCATACAAATGTGTTACAATGTATTGAGTGTATGATTTTCTAATGTTTTAATCAAATTAATTTAATAAAGATCATTTATTATCAAGCGAACAAAGTTCGGATTATTGATTCCATCGCGATAATAGCCATCGGAATTAAAATTCCTATTTTGTCAAATGCGCACAAAATTACTACCGCGTAACATATTCATTCTCTATTTAAGAAGGTTTTTATATTTTGAACCAACCGCCGAGATAGGGGACAACCAATTTCACATGAGCAATTTGTGTAAAAACAGAGACCCCCGAAAACAAAGCTGTAAAACGTATATATGATCAAGCATTATTTTCTCTGGGGATTGACACTCTTTTCACATTCAAATTTTCTTCATGATTCTTGTTTTAAAAGCATGAAGGACTCACCAGCAACACCACTTCCACATAAGTCGCATGCCCATGCCCAAGTGGAGCTAAAGATATCCTGCACAGATTTACCTAACTTGGATTATATATCGAAAACCGATCCTCAGGTCATACTGTTGAGTAAGGACCAGAGAACTCAAAAATGGAGTAATACACCGCATGCAACTGAAGTCATTAAGAACAACTTGGATCCGAAATTTGTGAAAGGCATTGTGGTGGATTACTTTTTCGAGGAACTTCAGAAGTATAGGTAAATTTTAATTCTTTGAAAAAAATTTGTTCATTACATATTCTAATGTCTTACAGATTTATAGTCGTCAACGTAAATGACAAGCAAAACCAAGACTGGAGAGATCAAGAATTTATTGGGCAATTCGACTGTGATCTTGGATCAATACGTAATGACAAAAAAAAAGTCCTCAATAATAGTTTGCAGGGAAAGATTACTTACTCCATATTAATTTAGTGGGTAGTCCGGGAGGTAAGATTAAGGGAAGACTGATCTCCCCAAAACATCGTGGAAAAAAACGCGGATTCATAATTATAACGGCCGAAGAGGTCAGCAGCTCCAGGAGGGAGGCAAAGTATGTAATGTTATCAATAGATTTTTTTTTTTACTTTACACGAGAAAATTTTTTAATTTCGACATCAAATAGGCTCCAATTCCGTGCCCATAATGTTGGAAAGGTGGAAAAAGTTCTAAATGACATGCCGCAAATATCAATACACATCTAATGATAGTTCTGAACATGTAGGGTGGCCTGTTTGAAACGAAAACGAATTTATTCTTTACTATCAGCAGGATCAACGAAGACAAAACATTTTCGCCAGTTTATGAATCAATTGATGTTACATCAACAAGTCCCTTGTGGCCAGCATTTACCAGTACGTATAAGTTAATGATGATGTATCGATCGTCTTAATTCTCCCGCTGATTTATTGACAACTGTCGTAGTCCGAGAATCTACTTTGTGTAATGGAGACCCGAATAGAACTATAATGTTTCAAGTACATCAACGTAAAAAGAATGACAGTATGTGTTTAAAAATCTCTTGTAATTCATCCTATTCTCCCTCTTTATGGACAAAACTATAAGCGCATTTTGTGGCGAACCTTTTAGCATCCTCAATTCAAGGCCAATACTCGCTTACCCTCCGAGAAATAATGACCGGAAATCGCAGATTTACTCTTCAGTCACCTTCTGGTGACACCAAAAAGAATGCATATATCGAAATTCTTCAAGCGCAAATCGAAGAACCACCAACGTTCTTAGATTATATCATTGGAGGTATGCGAGTGAATCTCGCTGTAGCTATCGATTTCACCACGTCGAATGGAGATCCTAGATCATTAAAGAGTTTACATTATGCATGCGGCACGAAGGATAATGACTACCAGAAAGCAATTCGGAATGTCGGAAGCATGTAAGCATTCTACTTGTTTTAAATGTAAACAGATTGCTTCAATCTTCTTTCGTAATTTCGTAGATTGGAGAGTTATGACCATAATAGAAAGTTTCCAGTAAGTTACAAGTTAGCATTGACCACCTTGCGATTTCGAAGACAGTTCTCAATAATTGGAATCAATCGTAGGTATACGGGTTTGGTGGTAAATTTAATGGTGTACTTTCTCACGTATATCCATTGAATAACAATATGCGGAATGTATATATTCACTTTCCTGGCAACTTGAATACAAACCATCAATAGCTGATTAACTAATTAATTATTTGTTTTATTTAAGCCCGAGGTTGAAGGAGTTGGTGGGATATTAGCTGCATACTTGAAAACGATCAAATCTGTGGAATTATATGGTCCCACGTGTTTCTCCCCGGTAAATTATGAATGGGCGATCATTACTGGAACTGGCAATTTTGAAATTTAATGTTTGTGAAAATAATAGGTTATAGAGCAAACGATAAATGAAATAGAAGAAAAATTAAAGACCGGAGACATCAGTTTTTATTACATCTTGCTAATTATCACAGGCATGTAAGATTATAATACATTCTTTCATTACCGACGGTATGAAAGATTCTTAACTGACTAAAATTATTCTTAGACGGGGTAATTACAGGTAAAAAAATAAAAATAAATAAAATACATTTCTTTCAGTCTTTTTGACCCATAACATAGATTATTCAAATGATCTATTGTTCCTCCAGATATGGAAGACACTATAAGGGCAATAATAAAGGCCAGTGCTCTTCCTCTGTCCATAGTTATTGTTGGTGTGGGTAATGCCGATTTCACAGCTATGAACATTCTTGATTCGGACGATCATCCATTAATGGTAAACTTCAACGCATTATCACATTCTGTTTCTGATCATTCTTCCCCATTATAACCAATGAAATGAAATGACAGCAAGCGTCCAACAACAAAAAGGGACAACCATTAAAATCGCAAAGAGACATAGTACAATTTATTGCATTGAGAGATTTCCAGTCGAAAACGACACAACATCATTTACCCAGAGCTGTGCTAGAAGAGATTCCTGGTCAGTTCATGAGCTATATGAAGAAAAATAATATAAAGCCATCTCCTCCCGCTTACGTGAAGGCAGAAGAATTATTGGTCAGCAGTAAATTTGATGTCAAAGGATTGGATGAGTCACCACCCTATTATAGTGACTAATTTTCATTTTTTTTCCACGAAAAAAGACTGGGTAATGTGTACATTATATTACAATTAATGATGAATGAAATGAGAGATTTAATATAATAAAGCAAATAAAACAATTAACTATAATTTCAACATGTCATGAAAGGTTGGGCTTTGTGACTTTAAAAAATTTACCATGAATAATTTGCAATGCTAAATATAAACGCTAGCTTCGAACGGTGTCAAAAAAAAACTTATCAGGCTTTTTAGTCCGAGGATCCCGGAAAGGGTAAAGGCCGTTCACCAAACCTAAATGATTGATTTCTCGAATTTGACCAATCATTTTTTTTGGAGTTAAACCGCATACACGATGTCATTTCTTACAAAGAATTATTCTAATGCGAGATAATAAATCCAACTCTGCATACATCGTGAAATATGCTGAATCGAATTATTATTGGCGAGTTGTCAAACAGGATTCCACGAAATTATATTTGTTATTTACAAATAAAAATGTGTTGCAAAGCAAGACTTGACAAAATAATCTAGCAAATCCGAGATCGACTCTTTGTTAACACAGACCCTGTTGGATCGTTAATTAACTTTTCTTGATAATAATAATGAGGATGATAGTAGGCCTTTTCCTCAGTCGACAACTTACCGAACCAAGAACAATAAAATTATCCTTCTTATGTCCTTTAGCATTCCTTCCTTTAATTTAATTATAACTTTCGTTATGCCAACCTACTCCACAATAACTATCCTTCACATGACACTTCAAATCATCAGTTCACTCCTCCTTATTATATTGCTGTACTCTGTCATCACTTCAAAGCATCACTTCACGAAATGGACTCTCTTCCAATTGTGCATAGCGGCATTCGTAAACAATACTAGTAGACTTCTGTACACTTTAATACACGGAAATAACGATTATTTCGACAAGTCACCGACACAACTAACTATCAGAATGGTTGGATCGTTTATGTTCTTTCCGCTGATGGTTTTGCCTTCAGTATTAGCATTCTACTTGTGGTATGCTTTGGTCAAAGGAGATATGACGATCGAAAAAAGATGTATTTATTATGTTTCAGCTGTGACTTGGATGTATGCAGCAATGCACATTCTCGTCTCGCTCGTGGGTATATTAGGACGAAAGATTGTTAGCGAAGAGGTTAAAAATTATGCATACTTAATACCCATCATGGTGGTGACCCTGTTCGCCTTGGCAATTTCATGTAAGTGACAAGTCGTTGTTTTTCTAGTAAAGCAATTTCAGCTTTGCCTTAATGATCCTTGGTTAATAAATTCAAAGGTCATTCGTGTTTAATATTATGGAGAAGGTGGCGTAACCATAACTTTCGTCAAAACAGAACTACCGCCATAAAACTTGGATATGCTACGAGACTGTTCGCCTTCAGTTTCGTGTACATTGTGATCCTTTTATCCAAATCCGTTTCGCTAATACTTAATCTTAATTTTTTTGTACATTACGAAAAATCCCTGGGAGCTTTGGCTTTTATTTCTGACTTTGTATCGGCTTCAGGGTAGGTACCTGGGATAGAGAAATCACCTTGTTTTTATTATCTATTCACTGAAAATCATTTTGTAGAGGAGTGCTCCTGTTCTCGGTTTTCGGTTCAAGTAAAAGGGCAGCGATATTTCTACCATGCTGCTACTATGCTCCACCGTCTTCACCAGTACCACTTCCATTATTCAACGGCGAACACATTGCTACTGTGAACGATAAAATAACAATTGCAAGGGTAGTGAATTATGTTCCAACACTGCAAACAATAGATAAGTGTGATCTTAGACGTTTTAAATCCATAAAAGATCGTAAAACTGCAGAGGGTGAACATGAAAATACCTCGGTTGAGCCGAAGTCTTCAACGATGGTTGGGGATTTTAAAAGGAAAGCTGACAAAGGTCATAAGATCGTTAAGAGCGATAGCAGAAATTCCTTGATCGTGACAATATCGTCGTCAACAACAGAACATTCTGAAAGTGAGATAACTAATGTTGATAATGCTGATGGTACATTGAGATGTCCAGAACCCGTCAAAAAGATGTGTGATATTCGAAATATCATGATTGTGGGTGACGAGAATATTGATATTTCTACAGATGACGATTACAGTTTCATAAATTTTTATCTTTATTAATAGATAGATGTAGCATGTTTAAAGAGGTATAAAGAAAGCGTGAGTACACAATATTTTTTTGGTGTAAAAAAATATACTGTAAATTGAATATACTTATACTATAATTCAATTTGTGTATATTTGTTAATAAAATTTTCTATTTGTTTTTTGTGTTTTTTGCTGCTCATGACATCAACACTAATTAAATTGTTCAGCCAACGGAAAGGTGACACGTCAGGTGATAAACACTTGAATAAAAATTCGGATGTAAAGTCACCTTTGATCATTCATTGCTCGAATGTCTCAACGTAACAAAGTGAAATTCGCTAGTGAACCTTCATCAGGTTCTACATCGTCCACTGAATTCGTGCCCATCCAAGATTCCGGCTTCACAGCTAAATTTCATCCAATTCCTCACGCCTTGATCACACTCAGCCAACTGACATTGTCAACGCTATGCCTTTTTTATATTCCCCCCGCGAAACTTTTGGATGATCCAGTAAATTGTTTAAACATAACGACTGGATTATTAATCATTGTACAATTGTTTATCGAGATCATTAGGTGGATGTTATATTTGCAAGGCGATGGAGTTGAAACTGCCAAATCTGTAAAGGCTATGATCAGAAATTTGATAAAGTACAAGGGTGCGGTATGGTGTTTTTTTGAAGGATGGTATCTGATGACACCGTTCAATGTATTCAAATCTTGCTAATTAATGATGATTTCGTTGTTTCCTAAAGAATTTTGGTCACGCAATATGGATAACGCTATTTGGAGCATTTATGTTTCATCTTATCGCAATTCTGTTCGGTGCGCCACTCATCTCGTGAGTTCAACAATTGATTACCTTTCGATCTAAGTTTCTCCTACGAAATTACGCTGACTTTGGCTTTGTCGAGCAGCAATGTACAAAACACATGGTTATTCGCGCTTTATATGTCACTGCTCACTATATTTCCCCCCGCTGTGGCCTTTAAAAATCATGGACCTTATTGGTCGAGGGTGTTTTCTGATAACAAGTAGTTATCCGACTTATATTGTATATGTTTGACATTTCATTTATTGACTTACTGAATTGTAATTTAAAAAGTCCAGAAAGCATCCCAGAAAAAATGATATATTACACGACAGTAACGACAGTTGTTGGAGCGTGGTTGGGTGCCACGGTTATACCATTGGATTGGGATAGACCGTGGCAGGTTAGTTAAAACACCTGCTTCGTTTGATTCAAGTTCTTCGTATTGATTTTTTTTTTTTCTTAGGTATGGCCAATTTCTTGCGTGATCGGAGGTTACATAGGACATGTGGTCGGGAGTATTTTGTCATTAATTACATGTTGCTTTGGGAATGAAGGAGCCGGTGTACGAAAGAAGCGATTTTGAAGGATTATGACATAACTATGTAAACTGATGCATAATAAACCAGAGAAAAGAAGATAATTTTACTAAATTCATTAGTGTCTCTCGACTTCATTACTAGTAATTAAGTTTGTCACGGAATAAACATAAACCAATGATCAGAATATGTTTTAATTATTGTTTGATTGGGTGTATGTTAAAATGATAGTTTTATGTTAGAAACCATGGGGAAGAAGACAGTGATGAAGCGACCATAGGCATGAATGTACAATCAACACTTCCGGGCAAGCAATTAAAATCAAATCATTAAGAATTGGCGATCCTGATCGCCGAAAAAATAAAATTCTTCCAGTGTTTGAAATCCTCATGATTTTGAACTTCATTTGGCGCCGCTGGAGAGGATGGTGGTTTTATGGAAGGTTCGTAGAGTAACTGAAAATTTTTACAAAGTCTAGGCATTATCTTAAAAATCTACGTAAATTCAATGATAGATTAAACCTTACCGAAACTTCGGGTCTAACAATATTTGTTTCCTGTTCTGCAACTTTTTTTACGGCCAAAACGAATCCATTATATTCATAATATCCATTTCTGTGTATCCTGGCACTTTCCAAAGTGTATGGGATTGAGGATGATTTACTTTCGAGCACATACTCCTTTGGACATTGAATATCTCGAGAACTGATGATCATTCAATGTAAATAAAATGATAATTATATGCAGTAATGTCCCTTCGATAACACAATCCAACCTAATACGTACTTACTTGTAAAGTTTACATTGACTGACAAAATGCGTAATGTCATGACTACCAAGCAAAGATTCCTTTATCGAAGACAGTAGTCGAATATCTTTTGGGCTTTCATTTTCGTAAAAAATTACTAATGAATATCATGAAAATCGGATGATGGTAAAAATAATAATATTATTATAGCACACTAACCAGTCCATCATCAAGATATCCACCAAAAGACGTCGTTTATATATTGAAAAGTCATTTAATCTAAGACTCTTATTGATCACGTCGAAACGGAAGCTCAAGCGATCAGATGTCAAACAAATCGAATCAGAGGCATTTGTTTGATACGGCAGATAGTCCAATTGAACCATCGTCTGAGACTCTGAAAGTTGATTCAGTGATTCCAACAGATCCGGTTGTGGATAACTAGAAAAAAGATGAATTAATCAAACCAAAGTTGAAAGATGAAAGACGAGTAACAACCGTTATACCTTAATTTACCTTGGAAGAAACAATTTTGTCGGATTTTTTGTTTCATACCACTTTCCTATAATTTCACGCGAGTGACTGCCTTCTAATGGCGGTAAAAATATATTTTGCATTGACTTTGTCTTGTCGTGAAAAATGTTATATCCAAAACTATAATAAAAAAAAATTGTGAAAATGAAGCAAAAGGTGATTAACTAGCTAGGAGATGCTCACGTTGAAACAATTTCGAGTCGAGCATTAGGGGTCCTTCCCGTGTTTAAATGAGTTCTCAAGAAACTTCCAAGTTTATTGAAGTCCATCTCATCTGCTTCCGTCTTCGAATAGATAGACCAAGATACTGGATCCTTTATGACACTGAAATTTTCATTAGACGTTAGACTGGCAAAATCATCCAAATGCACATAACAATAACACAATACCTTTTACTCTCATGCAACCTATATAGCTTATTATGCACGGTAGGTTCCTCATCCTACCAAATGCAAGGCTATAGGTCAGAGGGTTAGAATACGGTTTAAGGGAGTTTGTCTAGCGAATGGAAATCCCATCAATCAATAAGATTCCATACCGATTTCGTGACTTCTGCAAGACGGTGCCAATACATGTTCCGGTGAAACATGGGTAATGTCACTATATCGTGAACAGGCAAAAAGCAATACTTTGAAGTCTCCCGCTTGTTGCTATATAATATCAAGTGATTTTCGTTTTGATCAGGCTGCATAGGAATTACACAAGATTTTAATTCAGCAGTTCGGATGATGACATGCGCTACATCAGGTAAACCCTCACCTGCATCCATGCAATGTTCAACAGTCTCTGCGCTTCTTTGATATTACGTTGAGTTTGTGCGGAGATGGTTATCTAGAAGTAATCAAAGTCAAGATAAAAAGTTGATAAGAAAAAATTCTTTGTTTAAGTGTCATAATGCATCAATTACTACCTTATTGTTGCTTTCAAGTTCGATGAATGCTCCAGAAGTCCTACAAATATCTTGAACATAAGGCATCAACTCTTTCAAAGTTTTGTTCTCTCCTTTGATATGTGAAGGAAGTTCTACAGTTATGGTAGTGTAAGTCTTACAAATTTTTACAGATTGAAAAAAAGAAAAGTTGAGTATTTCTAATCTCAACTAATGGTAGCAAAAAATAAACACAGGTGAATGCATCATTAATACCGTCAATTTCTTTATTATTTCCATGGTTTTACGAATATCTCGTTTGGTTCCTGAAATCGTGTACGAGATAGTGTTGAGATCCACATAAATCTTTACATTAGCCTCTGATTCCAACCACTTCAACGACTCTCCGTCTAAAAATGAAATATTAATTATAAAAAAGTTGGATAATCAAATCATCATTAAATCGTAATTAACGAACCTGGTCCAACAATAAAGAAGATGTCCATTGGCTTTGATTGCACGCCTGTGTGAAAATTTTGTGATAAATATTGTGGCCAACTCATTTTTTAAATTTCGGTCACATGGAATTATCCCAAACCCACTTTCTTGTAATA